TGTGGCTTACAAAGAACAAGCAGAGGTTTCACAATGAAGCTCTGTGGCTTACAAAGAACAAGCAGAGGTTTCACAATGAAGCTCTGAGGCAGGACTTGATCCTACCTCTTCCAAAAACAACGTCATTGTCGCCAATTTCAGTAAAAGTTGAACTGCTCCTCAAGTCCCTGGGAAATGGACTTGTGTAACAGTCTTCTGGCTGAGGATCTTCCCAAGGAGGAATGGCATCTTGGCATCCCAGGGCAGCATCTTGCAGGGGTAAAAAAACACAATCAGGCCCACTTCCCCACAGAAAGGAGCAGTTTCATTACTTATATCATTATTGGGCAAATGGGAAAGATAACTGAAGGATCTCTGGCTCTGTGTTTTAAAAATATTTTTCCAGTTATTCAAACTCAATTTCCACTCTAACCACAGGTGTTTCAGCAGTCCTGAGACTGTGATGTCTGATGTAAGATATTATGGGACTCTAACCACGAGAGAAATATAAAACYTGAGAACATGGCTAGCTGATGGAAATGAAAACTGCTCAATGTGCCACTTCTTGAGATTTATAAACCTAACAATGCTTCAGTAGCAGTAGGTAACATTTGCCCTCAGGCATARGAGCTGTGAGTACACAGGTGTAAAGGAAAATAACAGTCAAGGGCAGACATTGACAATTTTTTGGCTGGAAACACCAATTTAAATTGAAAATCCAAACAAAAATTATTTCGAATACATTAAAGATTAGGTGGGAGGAGGACCATCTAATTTTTGGAAATTTGGTCCTTAGAAAAGGTGGGGTTTTTTTCACAAATGAATTAAATAATTGTTAGAGAACAAACCCTAAACCAATCCTATCCCAACCAAGTTCTCTGAGACTTTGGTTTCTGTAATTTTTGCAGTCGGCAATCCCAACCAGKGACGAAGGTCCTGCCCTGCCCTGTGCGATGGCTCCCACTAATGGCAGCAAGGGAAAGCTCGGGCATTCCCGACGGAGCAGAGACAGGAAAAACCCTCTGCAAAACCTTCTCCAACCCATTTTTGGTGTTCGGTTTTAAAAGTCTAAATGTCTAAAAATACAGTTTACAACTAGATTTTCATGAATTTTCTCTGTAGTCAGAATATGAGCATGACAGAAAATAATCTGAATATTAGTCTCCTTGGATGGGTTTTATCTCACCATCAGACACCTGCAATGGAGACTCATGGAACACATGGAAACAAGATCCAGGATGTGATTCCTACTGACCTGTTCTAGGCATGGGATGAGCCTTGAATTCGATTTCTCTACCAAATTCTGTCTTAACTACATGTGGAGCTGGGGCAACTGGTCCAGACATGGGATGGAGACGGCCCCAGCAAGATGTCACACAGAAAACACAGCCCTTGTGCTCAGCCAGTGAGGATGACCATGGCTGAAAGGAGGGACTGTTCAGGATTCTCTTCTAGGGAGTCCAAACTGTAGGATCAGGGACATGGGATGGAGGTTCTTGTTTATGACTGAGGAGTCTCAACCCCCTTATAATGGGGTCTTGGGATTTTGGTCAAGCCTGTGCTCTACTTCTGTTACAAGGAGGGGAAAGTCCAAGAAACTTTGGTGAGGACTGATAACCATGGACAGAGATGGAAAAATATGTTTGTTTTACATTTTGGTTTTGAGCACAACAGAGATTATCAAAACAGCTGACTAATTTTCTGTTAGTAATGATGCAAAGATATCTTCTCGCAATCAGACACAGAAACCAGCTGCAGACTGTCCTTGGGTCGCACGTTTAAATCTCAGATACATTTTTAYAAGGTCTCTGACTCAAGGAATAAACATGAGAGGATTACAGCTAATCAGATAAGTATGTCTTTATTTAACTGTAACATCAAAAATTAAGCTCGCAGTATGTTCTTAAGAGATAGAGTCTTCAATCTAATTCAAAGATTTTTGGGAAGATTTTTTTTCCTTTTAATTAAATCGTGTTGATTTTACTTGACATTTGATTTCAAGCAAGCCGCCAGTGTTTCTCCTTYACCGTCTGCCTCAAATCTGTGCATAGCATGTCATAGTCACAAGGCTACTCCTCTCCTCCTGAACATTGCTATATTTTAGGCTCTCTGTGGGTGACCAGACCAGCCCAGGTACAGATCAGCTGCTGGAACATTTCCCACTGGGGAGCAGGATTTGTGCCCTGTGCAGGTAGCGCAGTCTGCATTTGGCATCTGTAAGTGCAGCGAAAGCGAACCTGCTGGCACAGGATGGGCTTTCCTCGCACCGAGGAACAAGTTATGCTGGAATCAGCAACGCAGCAAAGATCCTGCAAATACCCAGGAAGGTGTTTTGAACAGCTTGTGCACCTGCACTGGTCCACGGTGAGGCCAGACCAGCACCCGACAGGTATTGTTAATAACAGCAGGCTGAAGACAAGTAATATTGCTCCTTTTCACCAGCCTGTCCAAATCCAATGTATTTTCTATTTCAGCTCTATGGATGAAGCTTTAGGAGGGGTCATTTCTCTGGTCATTTAGCTGGGGTCATTTCTCTGTTCTGGACCCAGTCAGGCACCAGCCACAACAGCACAGTGATGAAGGGGGGAAGGGCAAAGCTGCCACTGTTGATGGCAGCGCTCCTTGCAGGAGCAGAGTGGTGCCTGTGGGGATCTCCTTGTGTTCAAAACCACACACATAACTGCAGAACACAAGAAGGAACCTACAGAGATATTCCATCAGCAGCAAATGGGGATTAGGAAAAATGCAGCACCATTGGGTGTCCTGGTAAAGAAAAACACAGAGAAGGTGGAATTACTGAATGCTTTCTTTGCCTCCTGATGTCATCCCTCAGGAGTTCCAGACCTCGGAGGACTTCCCTTGATCCTAGAGGGTTGGTTTGGAGATCAGCTAGACAGATTTAACACCCATGAATCCATGGGTCTTGATGGGATGCACCCACAGGTGCTGAGGGAGATGGCAGATTTTGCTGCTAAGCCACTCTCCATGATCTTTGAAAAATCATGGAGAATGGGAGAGGTGCCCAATGACTGGAGGAAGACCAGTATTACTCCCAAATCTAACAAAGGGCAAGCAGGCGAACCCAGGAAGCTACTGGCCAGTCAGACACACTTCCATCCTGGAAAGATGTGGGAGCAGGTCATTCTGGAGGTCATGATCAAGCATGTAGAAGAGAAGAATGTCATCAGGAGCAGTCAGAATGGATTCACTAAGGGGAAAGAAATCATGGAAGCTGGACTAGTTTAGTCTGCAGAAGAGAAGACCGAGAGGGAATCATATTAATGCACAAAAGTATCTCCAAGGTGGTGTCAGAGAATGGTGCCAAATTCTTCAGGAGTGCCCAACAAACGGGCAAGGGGCCATGGCCATAAACTGAAGCACAGAAAGTTCCACCTTAGCATGAGGAAGAATTTCTTTACACTGAGGGTGGCAGAGYGCTGGAACAGCTGCCCWGAGAGGTAATGGAGTCTCCCCTCTCTGGAGACATTCTGAACCCACCCRGATGTGTTCCTGTGTCACCTGCTCCAGGTGACCCTGCCTTGGCTGGGGGATGATCTGAATGATCTCCAGAGGCTCCTTCCAACCCTGACAATTCTGTGATTTTGTCATATGTTAAAATAGAGTGTAAGTTCTTCAGAATGGGATCTGATGTACTAAATAATATAAGAGCTAAAAAGAGGAAGCTGTGCTCTACAGAAGCAATCACAGAAATATATTAAGGTTGCAAATCAGGATTGCAGAAGTTTGTAAACACTCACCTTAGCATCTGCTGGGAAAGAGCCCTGCATCCACTCAATTCCCCTCTCATTTGTTGCTGAAACTGGAAGCTGCCCAGTGAACGAGGCAGGAAATTTGAGGAGGAAGGAGACATGGTGAAGGCAGCTGAATGGTGTCCTGGGGCACTGGCTGCTATCTCTGTCCCTGCTGAAGACTTTCTCTGAGATACTGCCAAGTCATCCAAACCACACATTGAAAGCTGTGGCTCGGTAATTGTGTGGGGTTTTGTTTTTTKAATGCATAAATTAATACCTCAAGTTCTGATTCACAAAACTGCTGAGCACTCGTTGCTGTGAGAGAAAACAAGAGCACTGTCCCTCCAGCACATAAAATGCTAGAGAACGTGAAGTGTTCAGAAAAATCAGGTCATTAGGCATGCAAATTGGGTCATCAAAATTAGTGGATCTTTTTGACATTAATCTCTCTAGACTTCTTCCCGGGAAAACAGGGAGATCCCATACCCTACAGGAGAGTTGTGAACTAAATTAATTTAATGTTTGTTTCTCCACCAGCTCCCACTCCATCTGATGCTGATGCTGTTTGCATGTTGGGTGGGCTGTTTCTTCCTCTTTCTCACTCCCCACTATCACTGAGGACAAGGCTGTACTGACACAAAACATCCCAAGCCCTGGATAGACATGGAATGGGACCCCTGCCCTGGTCCCTACAGACACATCAGGCACCTCTAGTGCTGATGGCTCTATCTGGGCTGCTGAGAATTATTATTTTCAGATCCCAAATTTTTTAAATTTGGTGATAGTTGAGCATTGTCCAGAGTATTGTGAGGGCCAGGATGACCTGACAACTACCCAGCTTTAGGGCAGTGTTCCACACACAGAACTCCCCAACAGCAAAAGACACTTCTGAACACACTTGCTCCTCAAAGTTATTCTGCTCCCCTTCCACTTAGACCAGCTCAAGTCTATTATCCCTGAAGTAAAACACTCCAACTCCTACTGCAGATGTTTAAAGTTGGWATTTCTCAGAACAAAGAGCTTATTAAGCTCGAAAAGACACTCTGCCTACAGAGAAGTGCTAATGTCTCAGCTCCCCGCTCCTCCAGTCACTGGCATCTGGGGGTGTCTCAGTCACTGCTCAGCCTGCCACCCCAAATCRGGGTGGGACCTCTCAAAACTCTGTGCCTCCATCACCCACAGCTCTGTCAAGGGATTCAGGGAGAGAGGCACGGCTGCGACTGAAGCCATGGCGATCATCRGGGAGGACTTGTTTCAATATGTTCTTGAAACTCTGTGATGTCAGGTTGTGCGTCTCCGGGGGACACAAGCTCCATGTAGTTTGTTATGCCATCTGTTAAGGAAGGCAGCCGCTCGTCTCTCCGCTCCGTGACCACAGATGGGGAGTTTTTCCCC